TTTATATTTTCCATGAAAAATATATTTTAGTTTTATATTTAATATAATATCAATACCGAGAACAGATCTGGTGATGCACACTACCGGTGCCGCCAAATACAACTGGATATAGAGAGAGGTATAGAGAGATCTGGATGACAGCTAACAATTTGTTGGGATTTTACTCTATCATATATAATATTAATATAATATGTGACAACATGTTGATCTCACATTCAATCTTTATTTAGATAAAAGTCTCTAAGTTCTTTAGAAATATAATAATAATGAGCCGACACCTGATGAGGATTCGAGATTGTTGTCCAGACTATGATTGTTTTCTGGGTTTATACCACAAGTAGGAGAGGTTCCTCTCAATACATGTCTCTCATCTGTCAGCCCTTACATGAAATTATAGATCGCATGCAATAAATGGATAACAAAATTACAGATACCATCGGAATGAACACAGAATTATATTTATATGTTTACAAACAAATAAAACAAAATTGTCTGCAATTATGTGATTCATTAGAAATTTGTTTTGGATTTGTCTTTCGGATATATATTCAATGGATATGTTTGTGTGGTTTCATAGTTGCGTGGCTTCCTGTATGTTATCCTCGACGGTCTCGCACCGGACCCTCCCTTTGCTGTCGCAGTCGACGATCATAGTCGCGCCGTAATTGTTTGAGTTCTGGAGCCGTAAGTGTCGGTTCAGACTGTTTCTGAGGGCTGCGCTCTTGCGATAGCTCGTGATCACCAAAATCAGGAATATTACGATATATATGACCAAAACGACCTAAAAGTTAATTAAATCAAACATCAATTCGTTAATCAATATCTTTTCTATTAATTAGCATTTCTCTCTCTCTCTCTCTCTCCCGCACTAACTCACACTCTGCCGACAAAAAGCCGTAATTTTATTTATTTCTTCTTTTATACGCCATTACTTTCAATACACTATTTGTTGTCTCATTAAAAGCTATACAACGATCGCATTGTTTGGTTGATATTCATGGCAATAGCAAAAAGAGATCTGTTATTCAATGCACACCATTCCTACCATTCCTACCATTCCTTCGCAATCATTTCACATAGCGATAGGACTCCGAGATTAATACCAATGTATGTATTGGCACAGGAGTTGATGTATAAATAGGGCAAAAAGAGGTGAGAAATACACAAAAAATAAAAGCAATGAAAAAGTGACCAAAACTAATGCAATGGAAAAACTAAATTCATTAATTGTGTGCTTTCATGCAAAATGTCGTAAACATACAACACATACCGTTCCTATTGAATAACAACCTCTACTGTGACTCCCATTTAGTTTTTTTCTTTGGGCTATTCATTGATTTGTTTGTCTTTTTACGGAATATTTCGATAGAAAATACTATTTTTACAGAATTGGAAACCAAAATAATAAAGTTTTATTTCTATTTTTATACAAAAAATTTGAACGCGAAATGTAGCGACAAAATGATTATTATTTTTGTGCGATAGAGTGAACTGGAAACTGACGGTTTGTTTTTAGGGCTCAAAATCGATGGTTTGGTCGCAAACAGAGATAGACATTTGGAAAGAGATATGATTTTGTGCACATAAGGAATGCCAAACAGTGTGCTCTGACATCATAAACACAATATTCCTGTATTGACGGCCACTTTTGGCGTAAATCTCGCAGAATATTCCGTGTATTCCGTGTGGGTATTCCATAAACTGAATATCAAGCACTTTTTCTCTATACCAAACACTCAGGTCTTAATATATTGGTTGCAAAATATTCTGCATTTTTTATTTTATTATTTTTATACCATTTATTATGAAAATGCTTTTTCAGACATAATACAGAATAACTTATGACAACCCGGTGCTGCGGAATGGTATGGGAAAGTTAGTGAGAGTAACTTATATCTGGAAAAATGCCGGAGCTCTTAGATTTGTTAAGTGATTTGACGTCCGGAAGTTGAAGTTTAATATGATATTCGCTTTCATTTATCATTAAAGCCTAATAGCAATGAGAAGTTGAGAAAATGTTTCAATAAAATTATTAGGTTTAACGCTGAGCTCATAAAAATGATTATTTATGATTATGAGGTCTATATGAAATAGAGATAAATTATTGTGTTATCTCGTATTATATCAATAATTAATAATTAATAGCTTTTAATTGTATTAAAATGTTTTGTTGTTTATTTTACTGTTATATATCATGTTATATTTTACAGTATTTGCTCTAATAAATTAATATTTAATCGCTAAGTATTTTGTTTACGTAAACATCATTAAAAAGTATATTAAACTTTCGAAAATACACTTATTTAAAAACTTATTATTTTTATTTAATGTTCTTATGATTTTGCTATTAAATCAGATTTTCGTAAAAAGTTTAAAATCCCTAATATTCTTACAGTGAAATCATTAACATTTTTACAAATCCCTCGAAAACCTATTAGAGTTTGAAAAGTGCGAGTAAATGAATTGAATTCCTTTCAAACGTATAACTTGTATCGGAAAAGAGTACAAATCTTTTTAATAAGTGAGTTGACAGTCAGTCTCCACACTATAAATCTAATGCCCGACAAATTATTTGAGTCCTCCTCCACTCCTAACCATTACTACACTTATAATACTCCTTTACGATCGACACAATCACTTATTAATGGCTTTTGAGACGAAAACCCATAATACGTGAACAACTTTTTGACGTATTTGTGAGCCTCTTATTAGTGTATAATAGAAAATGACAGACAATAAGTGAAAAAAATAAGTTCCGAGATATTTATCAGCGTTTTTTTTGTGTGTGTAGTTTATTTATGCATCGTTTGACCTTTTATTGCCATTCAAGGTAGTGATATTCAATTCATTTGAATCTAAAAATACTACCTAAAATATATTGTTATATAATATGGAGATTTTTATCATAACATGTATGCACTCGACGATAGGCGCTGACAAAACCGTTCAATTATAAGCATATCTATAGCTCGCATCTCAAACTTTTTATCCAAACTGTTATCCAAACGATATATTTTCGTTATCAGTAATAGAGATGTGAAGTCAAACTAAATATTCAGTAAATACTTGAGTCCCGAAAAAAAACATGCGACAAAATAAAAGGCTTATAATGTGTTATCCATTGCGTAAGGAATGCATTATGATTTTGAGAGAAATCTTGAAAAATATTATGCATTAAAATGTGCGAACAAACAGAATATATATTTATATCCATTTCCCACGTGAAGTGTCGGCGCACTTACCGTCACATAGACTATAGCGTCGGTCGACTGCGACGAGAAGACCACTTCCACTGTTTTGCCGTCATTTTTGTCGAGTGGCGAGACGTCATACCGGAGTCCCATCGGCAGTATGCGGCACAGGATTGATGAGGCGCTGAGTGTATGGGAAAGGCATACAGAATAATCATTACAAACCATATTATAGACAATATATTCTATACATTCATATTATATTGTGTTATAACATGTAATACACATAGAATTGGGTCAACAAAACTAGAGAATAATATTATATAATCCCTGCAAAAAGTACTGTACTTTTCGTTTTTGTTATATACCTATTGCACTCTATTTACAGAATATTCTGTAAGGCTATAAATAATGAGAGATTCTGGACTTAAAATGACAAATATGTATGTCATAAGACATGTAATATTTTTTGGGTTATAATACTCGACACATATCACACATACACAACAGAATCAAAGCCAACAAATTCTAGTGAAAATTGCTTTCATTAAAATTAAGACCTCTTTTCTATCTCATGATAAATCAGTATTCAATTTTAGCCTTCAATACATGCTTATCAATGAGTGTATATAAGCTCTCTCTCTCTCTCCCTCTCTCTCTCTCTCTCTCTCATCCTTTTCACGGAGGCTGTCATCCATACAAAAGAGCATTTGTGCACTCAATACAAATCCCCACTCCATTCATAGGCCTCTCAATGATTGCATTAAATGTTTGATTTACAAATGCTTATTAAATACGAAATTGATTCAAATTTATTCCGGTATATTAATAATAAATAATCAAGCACAATTTGTGTTATTTTATGTATTTTCCAATTTTATTTATTTTTGATAACAAAAAGTCGATTTAAATGTGAGAAAATAAATGACATATTTTTGATTTACAAATAATTTAGTACCATAATAATTGTTTAATTACTTTATGACAGAATAAACTATTAAATTAATCTCTCGACAAAAAGAAAATACTAATAATTTAATTACAACTTAAATAACATTTTCTTTAGGGTTTAATATCTAATTATGCAATCATTGAAATAATATTTTGGATTATTAAATATATATAAATAACATATGATATGAATATTAACAGCAATTAAAACATAGTTATGTTTATAATGCACTAAACTTTAATTTAAATAAAACATTGATTTCAACTGTCGTTTTGGTGGTTATGATCACAAAGTTGTCTCATTTTTATTAGATTTCTTTTATAATACAATATTAAACAAATTTTGGTGTGTTTTCATAATTAACAAAAATGAGTGCAAAAATTGGTTCACAAATTCGTATTTAATAAACAAATATAACAATAGATATGTAAATGCTTTTCAGTGTTTACATTATATAATCGATATATAATTAAACACTTTTATTCATGTGTTGTGTTTTTACACAAGAATTTTGTTTTTTTCGTTAAGTATATGTAATCTTAAATGAGTTTTCATTATATTTATACAAATAAAAGCAATTCTTATATATTTTTTCTTAGAATTACTTTTTTCTACTAATATTTTTTGGGATAAAACTTAATAATGATATGCTTTTCAAAGATATTATGACAATGTTTTCGGCGAAGATTTCTTTCAAATATTGACAGAGATTTAGTCCAATTAAAAGAGTTGTGTGTTTTGCTGATACACTAAATTTCTGTACAAAGGGATGGATAATAATTTTGTACTAAAACTAAAAGATTATTGTTGTTTGTTGCAAAAATAGGATTTCATGAGATGTTTGTATGCATTCAAATTGGGAATTCATTTTTGTTCACTACATTAAGTTTTGATGTTTTTGTTTTAATAATCTTATTTATATTTTCCATGAAAAATATATTTTAGTTTTATATTTAATATAATATCAATACCGAGAACAGATCTGGTGATGCACACTACCGGTGCCGCCAAATACAACTGGATATAGAGAGAGGTATAGAGA